CCCCAAAACCCCAAAACCCCAAAACCCCAAAACCCCAAAACCCCAAAACCCCTTCACTTCAAGAAATATTGATTTATAATTATGCTAATATTGAGACTATTGCTCCATATCCTCCTCTTCATTTTCCTCTATGATATTGCCACCAACAGGAGTGTAGTATGGAATTTTACCGTTATTCCAATCCCTGAGGATCATTTTAGCAGCGTTTTTGATGTCTGGAATACCTCCTTTAATAAGCTTCCCACTTTTTCTTGCAATAGAGGCTAAGAATTCATTCACTGTTCTAAAATCTGGAATGTCGTACTCTCTCAATATTGATTTTCTGCTGACTTTTTCTACCAATGCTTCTACCGGAGTCACAGGATCATCAAGGTCTTCAACCTTGATGACATTTCTGAGAATCAAAGAATCTGCATTATCTTTAGAAAGCACTACTCCAGGAGAATCGAGAAGGACAATGTCTTTATCAAGATAAATTTCTTGAATTCCCTTTGTGAACCCAGGAGTGTTTCCAGTTCCTGCGACCCTGGATCTTTTAAGACTGTTGATGAAGGAGCTCTTTCCAACATTAGGGAATCCTATAACTCCAACCACAATGGAGTGCTTCTGCTTCCTCTCACTTGTATCATTTCTTCAATAATTTTTAAGAATTTGGATAATTTCTTCATTTCCTACTGCTTTAGACCCACTCATTAATTTCTCTACCAGTTCTTTTCTGTCTGTTAAACTTGACTTATGTAAAGAGATGTTACCCGAAAGATTATTCCTCTGAGACTGAGTGCTTGACTTGAATAAATAAGTAGGATGCTCATCTCTCAGTACTCTAAGCCAATCCCTAGCATTTTCAGGTGGAATAAGATCAGCTTTGTTCATAACCAGAACTAATTTCTTGTTTTGTGAAAGGACAGTGCTTTCCATTTCTAAATTTCTACAGCCTTGAGGATCTCTGGCATCGAGTATCTCGATAACTACATCTGCTTGCTCGACCACACTCTTGAGATCCTTAATGAAGGCTTTTCTGGATTGGTTTAGAGTCTTATCATTAGCTGCTAGATCCTTTGACTCCTCTAATTCTTCATACTTGCCTTCTTCGCTGAACCTATAAAGCTAATCTCTGCTCTAAATGGCTGAATTACCTAATGATCTTGCTATTGATATTTTTCATGTAACTCTCAAGTTCATCTTTGGGTTCTTGGACGTTACCAACGAATCCTTCCGAGCTCTTCTTATTAAGCTTTTTCCTCAGCTGCTGAGCCATTGTCTTATTATCACCCTCCAGTCTTTCCTTGTTCTCCATTTGTTGGATCATTTTCTTTTTAAACTGGAATAGATTTGGGATTCCTGGGTCTTTAAAATTAGGCTTTGCTTTTGATTTTTTAGCCTCCCGTGCAAGCTTGGCTTGCTTCTTCCGTAAACCTTTGTTCTTCTGCTCAATTGTGTACTTTTTCTTTGAATTTTGCTTTTTGTTCTTCTTAGGTTGAAACTTTGCCATAAACGCGATAATAATTTATTAATTTTAGGGGTTTTGGGGTTTTGGGGTTTTGGGGTTTTGGGG